AGAGACTGTGGGGTCTCCTCTTTGGGGATCTCCCAAAGTCGAGCAGCAAGTATCAACACCAGAATCATCACCCCTTCTACTTACAGTAATTGTAGCAGAAAAAGTCAAAAAAGAGAACTTCAAATGGCAAATGGTACTAAATGATAAGCTAGACCAGCTGCATTACTGCCAGCACTGCCTTCTCCTCCAGGTCCCAGCTTCATGTTCACTTTACACCGGAATAAGTCTGCTGCTCCATCATACCCTGCCGTGTTTGTTTTATGTTCTTTTTTAATTTCCCTTGAAAATATATGAAGCGATTGGCACAGACTGGGGGAGGTGGCAGTCAGATCGAAAGGCAGAACTGAAATTCGGAACAAACCAGCTGCTGGAAATTGTTTCACAGGTTCTGGAGCAAACTGCTCCGCTTCACTTAGAGGCCACTGTGCAGCACATGGCCTGCCTCTTCCACGGGGCAAAATGGGCACTGCTGAGCTGTTTTGTTGTTGGTTTAGCACAGTAAAATCATTCGTGAAAAGGCAAGGGTTATTGCTCAAAGAGGCTTTTTTAAAATTCACCAGCCATCCCTTCCTGCCACCAGGATAGCTGTAAAATTTGGCTTTTTTTTATGCCAGAATTCGTGTAATTTCCATGGCTGTGAATCAGGACATCTTCATTCTTGTGGCATGTTTTTCACTTTTATGAACACTAATTTCGCTGCATTTTCGGAGCGGTGACTTTAGCCACAGCGTGGCTGCTGCGAAGTTCCCACGGCTACCAGTAGGACTTTTATGTGGGAAATCTGTGGGCAGCAGGGAGCCTCCCTGCTTGTATCAATAGGAACTTCCCAAGCGCCTCAGACTGACATTTTCTCAGCCCGGGATCGGAGCACACATGCTCTCATTTAGAGCTCCCTTCTCCGAAGCTGAAAGACATGTGTGATCATTTTAGCTCCGGCAGTTTTCTAGCAGGCCTTCTGCACACAGAGAAATCCTGTGCAAATGGGATTTTTTCTCTTCAGCCAGCAGAAACCCCATCCTGCAAACTGCAGGAGATGCCAGCCAGGGCCACGTTGACCCCAGGCCCCCATCGTGTTGAAGATCACGGAGGAAGCATATAAGAGTCCCACCAGTGTGGATGCTGCACTGCAGACCTCCCCTCTCAAACTTTTTGAAATTTGGGGTGCACAGAGCATCCCTGCAGTGTGCCTCAGCACCACAGAGACATTATTTTTCCTTCTTTCTGCATGTCTGCTGGGGCTGTCAGGCCACCGCCAGCAGTCATCCTGTCCCACAAGAGTTTCCCAGCCTTTCGCATCACAGCCATGCATTCCAGAGATGGCCAGACACATAAATACATCTTCTTGCACACTGGAGGACTTTCTGCAGCTGGATAAAAGAGCATGTTAAAAGCATATACATTGTCTCCACCAGTCAAAAAAAAGAAAAAAAAAAAAAAGGTTGAATTTTTGTTCTCAGAAGACAGAAATGCAGTGGGAGGGCAATGGGCATGTTGTACAGCTTTGGATTTATTAAAGATAATATATTGCAGGGAAAAATCAGCTGTGGTGGGACACTATGTTTACTGGATGTTTAGAGAAGACCACACAACCCACAAACACGACAGGACCACGCTCAATGATCATATCTCACTATCACTTCCTATTTGCAGAACTGTAATTGTGGGAATTCTTAAGGTCCATAATCACTAAAAGTGGATATCTGAACTCAGAAACCAGGGAGGCAGAAGCCCTCAAGGAATTGTTTTCCACTTCAGTTAAAAGAAAAGTCTGAATTCTTTGTCAATGAGAGATGGTCCAGTTTTGCAGCATTAGATTTAGTAAAAGAAACACCTGGCCGCCTATCTGTAACAGAGCGGAGTCTGATGAGAACAGAGGGCAGAGATTATCACTCACTTATCATGTGTAAGGATTTCATTGATGCACATCATTCCAGTACAAACTGGTAATAACTGTTCAGGGTTGCCCAGAGGAGCTGTGGATGCTGCATTCCTGTAGGTGTTCTCGGCCAGGTGAGATGGGGCTTTGGGCATTTGGTCTGCTGAGAGATGTCCCTGCTACACGTAGCTCAGAGGGTTTGAAATGGAAAAGAAATGGGAATATGTTTGCTGTTGTTGCAGCTAGAATAAGCAAGGTGTAAGTGTGGTGAGGTTTGTAGCAGAAGCTAGTATCTTCCTCCAAACAAGATATGCTGAGGGGAAAAGAAGTAATAATAACCTTTCTCCAGCTCCAAACTATCATCTCTCCATATCTTGATGGCATTTGATAAGCTTTCAGTGTCAGTCAGAAAGAAAAACATGTATACATTGCTGCTATGGCAAAAATCCTGCTATACACCATCACCAATGGCTGGTGCAAGAAGACCAAAATGTTCTCTCTGATATTGTCAAGTGGCCCAGTTCTGTAAGGTGGTTTCAGTGTCTGTGCATGCACATCTGTGCCCTTCTCCTTTAGAAAGCTGCTAACACCTTATCCAAGCAAGCTAAATGCAAAAGAGGACTCAAAGCAATTCTTTTCTAAAATCTGTTTGAAAATAATCAACAAAAGAGGAGAGAATAAACATACAATGTCTACAAGCACCCCAATTGAAAGTAGGGCTGTGGTGTGAACCTATGTTACTATGTCACCAAGATCACTGCAGGGGGAAGGAGCCATAATGTTTCAACACAGAGAATGGCATCAACAACAGCTTGTGCTCACCCATTATACAAGCCCATGGCACTCCAGTAGACATGATGCTTCACCAATCCCTTATTGACATGAAGAGCACGTTCACAGAATAACTGAATCATTATGACTGGAAAAGATAACTACCCGGTCCAACCATCAACCCATCACAACCAGGGCCACTAAGCCACGTCACTCATATCCAGAATATGGAGTTGGGGATGGGGTTTTGCTGGTGAGAGGAGCTAAAAAATGAGAAATGTGCCAAATAAAATGAAGAAGCAGCAAAAATGGGATAAAAGATGAGGAGAGCAGGTCAACAGGTTGGTCTCACTCTGCAAAACTTGTAAAGGCTTCTTGGTGTCGAGTCATGTGAAGGGAAAGTGGGTGGCTCTTGAGACACAGTAAAAATGAGAATTAACTCACCTACTAAATTCTCAGTCATCTTCCTCTTACAACCACTGCCAGGAAGTCTGATTAATCAGTCTAAGTTTAAATAGAACAAAAAAAAAACCAAAAAAACAAAAAAAAAAAACCTATGTTCTCTGACTGGTCCACGAGGAAACCATGAATTTGCTCTTTTAATAATTAAAAGTGACCCAGCAGGTTTTCAAGAGCAATCATCTCTCATTCAGAGAATAAAATCTTCTCCACCCATGTACATGGAATCCACTGCATTCTCTGCCCAGATAATCGCATTGTTTTGCCCACTTGGATGAAGTTTCATTTTGCGAGGTGGTTCCTCAAATGCCACTTGTTTTTCTGCTGAGAAAGTACTGTGTAAAATCATTCCAATGATGGAAAAGTAGAAATGTTTTAACTACCTAATTGGTCATCTTTTGCAGATTTCTATGGAAGAAAAAAGAAGTTCATTGCCACTGCCAACACAAGATGAATATTTTGCTGAGTATGACTGGCAAAATTTCCACCCCAAGTACACTGCAGTAGGAGACATGTCTCACAAGTTTGTGCTTGATTTCTTGCTGTACAAAACCCATGTACACATGTACACAGCTCATGCTGTGTAAGCTTTGACTTTCAAAGCCAGATTTCTATGTATCTTCACCTTTGGATATTCTCAATGCATCTACTTCACTGAATGGGAGAAATATCATTAATATCTGTGTCTTCAGAGTTCTCCTCCAGGTTACACCTGAGATGAAGCTCTCAAGACACTGTGTGGGGAAAGGCTCCACCACATTTAATCCCCTGGAGTACTTCATGCAAGTCAGTGAGAGTAACTCTAATGCAAAATGAGCAGAGGAGGCAGAAATGAGTCTGCAGGCAAAACCCTAGTGAGTCAAAGTGTCCCTCAGCGATGACATCAAATTGCTGGTAGAGGTGAGGCAGCCCAAACACCATGAGGAAGGTTGGGACTCCTTGGTGTCTGTGGGGGTTTCTTTCAGATATGAGCACAGTCTAAAATCTAAAGTCCATAAAAATCTTTCAGTCACTCTGGCTCTAAGAGAGAAGAGAAGATTTTGGTACTGAGTTTGAACGTACCAGAGCAACTGATTGGCAGTGCCACAATGGAAAGAAAAAGGAAGCAGAGCTGAAGAAACTTCTGAGAAATGTAAAAAACAGCTAACTGGACAGGAACTGAACAAGTTATCAAGTGTTATGGGAAGAGGCTGGTTCCTACAGGTATGTCCCATGCAGCCTTTCTGTTTATAAAGTATGTATCAGCACTCCAGTAATCAGGCCTGGACATTTGGGGTTGGAACTAGGTGATCTTTGAGTCCCTTCCAACCCAAGGCATTCTATGATTCAAGTTATTCTATTAGGATTAAGCTACTGGACATGAGAAAGCATATACTTTAACAGTGTCTGTAAATGAAAGGCATCATGGAGTTGAGAAATTGCACATCTTTGTTACATAACAGCACAACTAAAAACAAATAATGTATTACTTCATATGGCCATCTCCAGAATTTCATCAAGACCAATTTCATGCTCAAAATCTCACTAGCCTTTGCCTGCTATCACATAGAGAAAAGGGAAATTAGTGCACTCTTTTTCATTTTTCAGAACAAAAGCACAAGCTTTGAAGCGCTGCCTTTGTGAAAGAAACAGTTGTGGCCTGCTAAAACAAGCAGTACTGAAAAGGTTAACTAATTTGGTTTCCTTGATAAGTTTATCTATGATCAGAACTGAGTCATACAGAAAATACTCCTACAAGATTTGACCTTTTACTTGTATCCCACACTGAGATAATATTATACTTAAAATGGATATCAATAAGAACTTTGTTTTAAAAACTATATTTAAAATAAATTACTTTTAAATAACAGAAACTGTTTTCAATTAGCCCTGTTAAAGGAAATCAACTAGAAAGTTATGTATGCTTTTTTATTTTCTTTATATAAATTATACCCAGGAGTCCTATGATAGCAGCACTATACAAACTATGCACTACCTTTATATTTATTTCTTATCAAAATAAACTTAACAAATTAGATTTGTTTTTACAGCACTTTATATCCAATAATGACAATGTTGTATTGGTCCCAGGATAAAAACAATGAAAGTAGCAGCTGAATGGTATTTTTATTAAGAGTTAACAAAAATGTCCTGTGCAAACACAGTGTATAAAGAAAATTAATTCCATAATTCCTTATGATGAAGGCGTCCCTCTCTTTTTTCTTTTTTTCTCACAATATCAATCTCATTTGGAAAGATCATTTTAAGGGGAAAACTGTAAGTTTTAACATGACTTACTCAGCAAAATGATATAGCTGAACTTAAACATTGCTGACTGCTACGATTTAATATTAGGACCTGGCAAATGTTATGATAACTTAATACTTTTTAAAAGAAAACTTGTTTGTTACTGAAGATTTTGGGAGCTCAGAAGAAATATAATCTAAAAAAATAACACAGCTAAAGATCCAAAGAGAGGTCTCTTCTTTTTCCCATTTTTTCCATTTCCTTTACCTTGAGCTGGTTCCTCCATGCGAGCACATTTAAAGGCCTTTTACTGGTGGCAGATTCAAATATCTCTGAGATATTCACCATACAAATTCAGCAAGAGTCCAGGTTTTCCTCCAGCAGTGGAAAAATGGCAGGGCTAATAGTCTGGGGTTTGTTACTAAAAATGAGTCCTCACACCAAAAAAATAAAAATAAAAAAATAAAAAAATTAAAAAAACATTGTTTAGAACATGTGGTTTGCTGCTATTAAGTTAACAGTGGAAAATCTCATTACTTTTAATTTTATTTTGTGGTGGGATTGTTTTGTAGACTGTGGCAGATTTTCTCTTAAGTAGAGCCTCTCCTCCTACCTTGCAAGCAGCTCTTTGCACAGCTCGCCTCAGTGTTTCAGGTCAAAGTGTTGAATTAAAAAAAGAAAACAGATGTTTCCCCATGTGTGCCTCTCATGTGCCATCCTCTCCAGCTCTTGCTCTGACAGAGGAGTGTTCCAAAGAAGACCCTGGGCTGAGGGTGTTCTCCATGCAATGCTAAGAACATATCTGTTCCTATTGAAAGCTCCAAAGGGGCAAATAAGGCATCGGACCAATCCTGATGTCACCTCTATGCAGCAAGCCCTGTGAAGAAGCAAGGTGTAACATGGGTGGATGAAACTGGAGCTCAAAGTGGCCAGAGTAGAAAAGAGAAGATTCTAATTGCAATTGCAGATTGTCATTGTAATTGGATTTCTTGTCAAAGTTCGGAAGCCTCTCATCTGATTTCTGACTTTGGATTGAAGCTACAATTATTTATGAGAATAGAGGACCAAATGTGCAATTTGAGGTGAAAATATTGCCAAGGCAGAAGCCTTGCTCAGAGCTTAAAAGCTTCTATATACAAACATATATATATATCCTACTTATTGTGACTCAAATCTGAAACTATTATGGTTTAAAATATCAAGTGAGATTCAGGGTCACATAATATTTGCTTTCCATCAACAGCCCAGTGGATTCCCCTGTAACATATGCTTGCACATGACAAGGCTCACTCTCGTGCAGAGGTGAGCCATTACATTGTAAATTCCATTTGCAATACAATCCTTACGTAACTCAGCTTGTGTATTTCCAGATAGCCTTTTATTTTCAAGTTCAGCCATTCCCCTGGCACTCAGCACTTTTCCAGGTCCTGGTTTGTCATGAGAATTTGACATCAGCTTCCTGAATAAACAAAATATATGCACATAAGATCACTGATGATCAGACACTATATTTCTTTTGAACATCTCTCTAGTCCCCACTTCTTAACAAAGCTGCCAGAAACTGAGCTCTGCATTCAGATGATGACTCACCCAGCCCCGCTGCTGCCAGGGTCTCACTTTTCCATCAGTGGTCATTCTGGGAGCTCAAGTCAGTCTCTCAATATTTTTTTGGAAATCAGGGAAGGAAAAGGATCAGCTGCTCAGTGAATACAGGTCTTATGGGGAGTGGCTGAGGAAACTGGGATTGTTTAGACTGGAGAAGAGGAGGCTCAGGAGAGAGCCTTATTGCTCTCTACAACTCCCTGAAAGGAGGTCATGGCAAGGTGGGGGTCAGCCTCTTCTTCCAGACAACAGCAATAGGATGAGAGAGAATGGCCTCAAGTTGCACCAGGGGAGATTCAGGATGGATATTAGGAAGAACTTCTCCCCAGAAAGAGTGGTAAAGCATTGGAACAGGCTGCCCAGGAAGGCACTGTCCCAGGAGGTGTTAAAGAATCATGTAGATGTGGCACTGAGGGACATAGCTAGTGGGTATGATGAGGATGAGTTGGTGGTTGGACTAAATGGTCCTAGAGGTTTTCCAACCTTAATGATTCCATGAAGGGAGGAACTCTGACTAGTCTGAATTCCCAAACACTCAACAGTGCTCGGCTAGAAGTGCCACTGTATGGGCACAGCTCGTATGTTTGCTTCTATCCAGCTGCACTATGATTTTACAAAAAGCTAAAGCAAAGCAGAGGGCTGCTCATTGCTTCATTTTGAATAAGAGTGCCTGGGGAGTAGGCGTCTGATGTTTGCAGTGGCATGAGCACCTGCAGTTTGTGGGCTAGTGTGGAGGAGCAGCAGAAGTTCAGCATCTCTGCAACATCAGGCCTTGAACTAAACACACATGATTTCAAAGATGACTTTCCAGGGGCGCAGTGAGTGGCTGCTGCCATTTCAAGAGTGGGTGCCATTTAGAGCATTATCAGAGGTTTAGGAAATGAATTCAGAGCTGGATATGAAAACATATCGATCATCGCCTTAGAGATGAACAAAAGTTAAATGTGACCAGGCTGAGACAGAAAAACATTCATCTCTTGACAGATGTCCAAAGTACCAGCTGAGACTGAGAGCAAGCACTGAGACGGTGTGATGCTTTGGAGCTGCACTACCCATAGTGAAACCAGCTCAATTTTGACATCTGCTACATGTGCAATTTAAAAGTGAACTTGCAAAATGGGGATTATTTTGAGAGCTAAGTGAAACTAGCTTGTTCAGTCTGTAGAGCTCTTGGGTTCACTTTCTTACGTTTTACTTTGTACAGTTCTATACACCAGGAGTTTTGCTTTGAGTTTTAGGTTGAAACAAAGCAAAACTGATCACAAAGCACTGCATTTTGATTTTTCAGATTGAAATTAGGTCTCACACAGAAATTTTCAAAAGCCAAAGTGCAGAGCATTGGGAGCCTGCGTTTCAGCCCGGTCCGTTTCCAAGCTGTCAGCCTGAGGCTCAGAGCCAAGTTTTCCTTACGTGCACTGATGCTGAGAGCTGCCTTCTCTGTGCAGTCCCACATCCACACAAAACTCCCTAAAACCACCCGATTCTGCAGTTTCTTCCAGGAATAATAGGTGAAGCCATCCCAGCGTTGTCAGATTTAACTAACGTCAAATAGTGCCAAGTTAGTAATTGCTACCTTCAATAGATTTGTTTCTAGCTAAGTCCACGAAAATTATTACAAAAGCACATAAATCCCGAGCTACAGTTAGCACTATTTTCTGCTAGAACGAAAGCCGCATGCTTACCTTTATTATAATAGACATGTCTTGCCAAAAGCAGTAGGGCAGAGTGTCCAAAACACCCTCCTGAAGAAAGCTTTGAAGAAACACCTACTTAAACATACTTTCAGCCTTTATTTTATCCACTTTGCACATTTATTTTCTTAGCAGCCCTCGAGCCCAATGGTTAACACGTTGGATTATCGTTCTTACTGGCCACAGAAAATCATTTCTGTCTCACTTACAACAGAGCTTATTATCATACTTCCATGCTCATCATTTAACTTTCCACTATATTAATAACCCCGGGCCGGTTTTACCCAGCGAGCAACCTAAACCTTCTGACTTTGACAGAAACTTTGTGTGCTTATTTCTCTTTCTAACCATCAAAGAAGGTCACTGAACTACCCTAGGTATCAGCATTTTTCCTGTGTGATTCACTCACACCAAGCAAACCCTCTAGACCAACATTTCTTCCGTTTCTGAATTTGTACTTAACCAATAGGATCAACAGGCCCCCTTCTCCGTGGGTGGTGATAATGTCAGTACACCACTGCCCAAATAACCTTTCTCTATAGGGAAATGCTAACATTTAATTCTTTAAATTTAAACCACATGTATTTTGGTCTCATAACCGTACTCTGCATTAACTGCCTTTTGTTATTAATTTGTATCACTAAAAACCCTAATGAAACCGGTTATTTAAATTGGAAATGTTAAGTGCAGTAGACATCTAAAATTTGGGTATGAGCTATAATACATCAAAATATTTAAATAGTAACTAAATATTTTACCTAACCATTGTAAACACATTTGCAGAATTAATAATGACACAGCCCTGCGTATGTTCAATGTAAAGCCACGTCTCCAAAGAGCTGTTCTCTTCAGTCCTTTGCAGGGAACATAAGCAACAGCCAGAGAGGCTTTTGAATGGTTTCTATCAGTTACCTTCATCTTACCCAGAAACAAAAAGTGCCATTTAAGTACTGCGTATGTGAGACCTCCGCTAAGGAGAATAAATTACGTGTGAGTTGGCCACATGCTATTTTCCTCCTGGTGTTCTCTGAAAGAGACACTGCCACTGTATACAGTCCTTACAAACATTGCCGTGGGGTGACCACAAACACACAGCTGCCAGCACAGTGCAAATACTGACATTTGGGACCAGGACTCAGGGACTCTTATTCAGACAACAGGAAAACGAGATAATTCCTCAGCAAAATGTAACACAATTGAAAATGTTTAAAAAAAAAAAAAAAGAAAAGAAAAGAACAAACAGTCAAATTAGGTCTTAAAAATTCGTGGGGAGGAGGGTAAATTTTTAAATTTCTTCAGTATTAACACATGATCTAGATAATGGTTGCATCGCCCTCTGCTTACAGTTATTATTCTAATTACATGTTTCGTGTCTCAGCATAAAGACTTAGAAAACCTTAAACTGCCGATCACAGAGTTTCGATACCAGTCCATTATTTTTTGAATTGCCTTTTTCAAAGCATCCGCTGCCTCCCAGGTGCAGATTTACACCATCTTCTTTGTTTTTTAAATAGGAATTCTGTAACTCATTCCACAAGCCAAACAGTTCACTACTGCAGAATCTTCTTCTGGACCAAAATCACTGAATCATAGAATCATAGAATTGCTCCGGTTGAAAAAGATGTTCAAAACCATCGAGTCCAACCATGACGTAACCATACTACCCTAACTCTAACAACTCTCCACTACATCACGTCCCTGAGCACCGCATCCAAATGGTTTTTAAACACATCCAGGGATGGTGACTCAACCACCTCCCCAGGAAGCCTATTCCATTGCTTAACAACCCTTTCTGTAAAGAAATGTTTCCTGATATCCAACCTAAATCTTCCCTGGCTCAACTTGAAGCCCATCTTTCCCTATTCTGTCTTGGAGAGCTCACTGGGGCTGGTAAATCATACAAAAAACAGCAGTCATTGAAAGTGGCTGCAGTAACAAGAGGCATCCTTGGGGCTTGGTCACCGATTTCAGGATGCTTAGGTTGCAGCTCTCCATGGCTTCCTATAATTCTTTCCCATCTCACAGTTTTTCGGTTATATAATTCCCAGTCCATAAAATGCTGTTGCACACTCTGGGATTTGGTAAAAATGTTCAAAATACCATTGCTCCCTTCTAAAGAGACAAACCAGTCCTGGTTCTCTGTAGGAGTGTTCCTGTACCTTCCTCCTGCTCAGACTGCTGGCATGAGTGATGCGAGGAGAATGTTTGTTTCTCATCTCACACAACCACTGCTGCTGTGCCTGGGGGTTCATCCTGGAAAAGAATCATACAGACTCAGTAAAGAAAAAAAGACTGAACAAGAATAATTTTTCTGCTTCATTTGCAAATTATAGAATTAATATTTACACGATTAAACCCGATTTCCTGATTGCTTTGTGGGTCACCCTACACCATGCTATTTTCTGTAACAATTTGACTTTTAAACTTCTGCAACAATAATCCAAATTCCTGTCGATCATAATGCTACTGACCGACAAAAAACAGTTCATGGGAAAGTTTTATCTGCCTATACAATCCTCATTGATTGCCTGTAGTGAATTTCACACACAGTTTGCTACCCTCTCACAATTTTAGCTTCATTATGAGTTATAGATTTATGCACTATGTTGTTTTTATATGTTATATTCTAGAAGAACATTCAGTTCAGCATTGTACAATGCCCATATAACCACACCAACTAATATATTCAAGGTTTTTAACTTCCCTCCTATTCAGCAGACCATCAAAAATGAACCTGATTAACATAGCTTTGTAATTACTGCATGTATTTCTCTAACTCTGTGTAGCTGAGTGCCTGGTACCTGAAGTTACCACTTTCTTCATCAATATTAGTTTGCTGCATCATGCCCCAATCTGAGGAATTATGCTTACTTTTTCCAGACTCCCAACACTGTTGAACCTCCAACCACTGTATTCTTGCTGGGAAGCCCCATTTTCTCAGTCAGAGCCTGCACGCATCATCTGCAAGGGAAAGATGGACTGTTCAGTGCCCCAAGCCCTGAGCCTCACAGCTGTCTTCTTGTGCTCTCCCGCAGCATCAGCATCTCCCCACCCGCATACGGGTTCAGCTCAGACACCTTAATTCAAAACAGACCTTTGATGGCATCCTGTTAAACACAATAACCCTCTACTTGCTAGATACGGAATTACTTTCCTGCCCCTACTCCTTGTTAAACATGGATAAAACACCTTAGGTGGAATTACTTTCACAGCTGTGCCACCTTTGACTTTGTTAAGCCTTTATAAAGGTGTATTGCTGGTTTTTTTTTTTTACAGTGTTCTTCTCCAGCTGTATCAAAGTTCAGATGCCCACAGGAAGGTACCCAATGCCCTCTGGAGCAACCCAGAGTATCTGCAGCACCTGTAGTGGGTTGACAATGACAGCGTGGGACCTACAGGAGATCTGCACCACTGAACTGTCAGCAAGAGGCCAGCTGGGATTCCCCAGGGGCTCCAAAGCGACACAGGGCAATGCTTAGGCACATGCATTTCTTCCAAAATTAACACAATGAAGTATAAAATAAAGGCAAAAAAGTAACTAAACAAAAATTAATATGATCGCTTAACTAAAAGCTGGGAAAATAATACTCCAAAGATATAATTTCACTTTGATATGCAGAATAAATCCCATACCTACCTGTATAAAAGCCAGTTGTAGATAATTGCTGCAAATCATCCAGGTCCCATAAAAATAAAGCGCATAATGGAATAGCTAAATTCACTGCACTTTGATGCTCTTTTTACTTCATATTTTAGAAGACTGATACATTTTTAAAGTTAAATACTGAAAACAATAATTGCTTTGAACTATTCTAGAGTGAACTTTTTTAATTCTAAGTACATATGCTATTTTTTCTCATTCAGCAACAGTGTTTTATACTGTCCAAAAGAAAAGCATTGTGACATTTGTATTTAAATAATTTATTGAAAAAGATATGGACGCCTACGGCACAATTATTTCCCATCACTTCATAGTAAGTCCAAATTTTGAAAACATAAAATTAATTCACATCATAATGTATTCCTCAGAGCCAAACCTTGGAGATTGTTCTCATCTTTCCCCTGGATAAATTCCTTCCAGTACCTAAAGGGAGACTGCAGGAAAGCTGGGGAGGGAGACTGTAGTGATAGGACAATGGATAATGCCTTTAAAAAAGGGGCATAAAAGAGGGGAGATTTAGATTAGACATTGGGAAGAAATTCTTCACTATGAGGGTAGTGAGGCACTGCCACAGCTGTGGGTGCCCCATTCCTGGAGGCACTCAAGGCTGGGTTGCATGGGGCCCTGGGCAGCCTGAGCTGCTGGCTGGCACTGCCCATGGCAAGGGGCTGGGATTGGGTGGGCTTTAAGGTCCCTTCCAACACAAGCCATTCTGTGATACTATGAAATTTAGGCTGAAAGACAGAGCTATTTATATTCAGAACTATTTATAATCATCAGAGCTGTAATGGGTTGGAACAAACCTCGAGTGGAATACAAGGTTGGGCAGTACACCTCCTGCATGGATTTTTCAGCAAGTTTGGTTTTAACAGCCAGAAGACCAGACTCAGCAGACCTGGAGTCCTCAAGCAATAAGCAGTGATGTCTTGATTCTTCATAATTCTGGCACAGCTTTCTCAGTGTTGTTATCAAAATTATGCTCTTTATATTAAAGGAATCTGCATCTAATAACCAGGTGAACACTTAAGAGGTGACATAACTCTCATTTTAATAGGCATCAAAATGATTGCGTGATTCTCAAGTTTTATTTATAAAGTAGAAAGTGAAACTCTACTGTTCTTTACTTCAGACTCAATCTGAAGCAATTCTGCTGATTTCAGTTGCTTCAGTGAGTTTACTTCAAGCTTTTATCAAAGTAAATGAGATTTGCATTCATCACCTTATTCTGTATGCCCTTTGGGGGAACTAAAGCCCAAAGCCCATCATAAAAACTGATGATTATCACTACTTGATAGTCATCATGGGAGGAGAGTTCACAGTGGTGAAGGTGACACATGCAACTGCAAAAGGCAGGAGACATCATTAACCAGGCATTGGTTTGCTTCAACCATCCTCTGCCCTCTGTTCGTTATATGGCAGGGTTACGCAGTGCAAAGATTCTGAGAAAATATTCTCACAGTCTGCTTCAACGTAGACCAGCCAACTTTGTCTTGGTTTTTATTTGGAGTAACGTATCCTTCAAAAGCTTTATTTTAAAGCAAACTTTTTTTTTTTTTTTTCTGTCACGGCCAAATTCTCCACTTCTGGGATTCACAATATTTTCCTTTTTCCAGAATGACACCTGCTGGTGGGAGAAGCATGGATGAATTACAGATATTCTGTGATTCAATAGCAGCTAACCTAACCATACTCTCTGAGCGTGCTCATCACCTGTGTCCAGTAAACTCTTGATAATAAAGATCTGGAAATGTAAGGATACTATAAGGAGCATGTTGTAGAAGCAACATAGTTTTCAAATCTGATTTAATATTTGCTCTTATTAAATCACTAAGATACCATCCACCAAAGCGTTGCTTCAGTGGTGTTTCAGTGTCATATCCTAGTACTATTTTGGGAAGCCCTCAGCATGGATATGTCAAATTGAGGTGAAAGCCTGAACGAAATCCTTCCTATCCTATGCAAAAAGCTGCTGTGCTGCTTCAGACCTTTCAGTGTGAGTAAAACCAGCTGCTAACGCTATTATTGGTGCTTAACACTCCAGAAGATTAGCATCTCAAAGAGAAGCATTATGCACATGTCCCTCAACTGGTATACGAGGACATAGCTAGGAGAGACAGAAAGCAAGCTGTACCTTTGCCAAAACGATGACAAATGCTCCTCAATATGCCAGGCAGCATTAGGATCTGTAATGGATTTCTGTACCCACAGCACCTCTAATGTCTGGGGCTGCTGGAGAAGATTCCAGCTATAATGGAGCCGGACTTGAGCTTTTCATGCTTTCAGCACATTCACAGCAATATTTCCAAAAGTGATTTCCAATGCTCGAAACATCCTCACTGTGGATGCACAATTTTATCTCCTTTTTCTGAGACGCTAACTACCCAAAATCCCCTGTGATGGCAAGCTAAAGTGGAGGTGCCCAGGACCCTGAAGAAAACATATATATTGGACTACGAAAAATCTAGAAATCTGAATTATTGAAGCTACTCTCAGATAATTGCAGACAGTAACTTGTGGTCATGTACTAAATCATATTTTGAGACCTGTATGATTTGAGCCCAACTTATGAAGAAATATTTGTGAAAAAAATGTCCAACTAAAAAGAAAACAGTATCAGAAATTAAATTCAGAACTAGAATTCAATGAATTCTTTTGAATTATTTGCAAGGCAAATGTAGAATCATAGAATGGTTTGGGTTGGAAGGGACCTTAAAGGTCATCTAGTTCCAATCCCCTGCTATAGGCAGGGACACCTCCCTCTAGACCAGGTTGCTCAAAGCCCCATCCAGCCTGGCCTTGAATGCTTCCAGGGAGGGGGCATCCACAGCCTCTCTGGGCAACCTGTCCCAGTATCTCTCCAACCTCACAGTAAAGAATTCTTCCTAATATCTAGCCTAATTCTACCTCTTCCAATTTAAAGCCATTTCCACTTGTTCTATTGCTCCATGCCCCTATAAAAAGTCCCTCCCCAGCTTTCCTGTAAGCCTTCAGGTACTGGAAGGCTGCTATAAAATCCCCCTGCAGCCTTCTCTTCTCCATGCTGAACAGCCCCAGCTCTCTCAGCCTGTCCTTGTAGGAGAGGTGCTCCAGCCCTCTGATCACCTTCCTGGCCCTCCTCTGGCCCTGCTCCAACAGCTCCATGTCCTTCTTATGCTGGGGTCCCCAAAACTGGACACACATTCAAGTGTGTTCCTCTTGAGTAAATCATTAAAATATAGGTAATGTTATGGCATACCTCATCACAATGCCAGAAGGCAAATTCTGTGCTGATTAGAGAATTAGAATGCAACTTAGGAGCTTTGGCTTGGATTCCTGGATTTGTCACTGGCCTCCTATATAACTCTGAGCGGACAGCTTCACATCTCTGTTCCTCCAGTTCTTCCATCTGTGAAAAGACAATAACATTTTTATGTTTTATGATTTATGAAGATAGTTATGTGACGGATTTCCAAAGATTACTTTTATTTTGGAAAATGCAAGCACATGAAAAAAGGGGTATATTGCTGTAAACTCACTGGATAATAGGAGACACATGAGGCTGTTTGCTTCAACAGATACTTCAGAGATAGAGTTTCTTCAGACGTATTCCTTGTAAAATTCATCATGTCCAGCCAATGGTTGCACATACTTCTGGTTTTAGAGCCCTTGTTTGCCATGGCAAATGAAATACATGCATGTTATAGAAACAGCCCAGAATTCAAATAAGCCTCTGCAAAAGGATGAGAGCTCTGAATTTGGTCAAATTTTCCTGCTCTCTTAACTCAGCCTATTGAACTCACACTGAATGGAATAACCTTACCGTTGGAACCCCTTCCACATCCTTATCCTTCTATTCTACCTAAGACATTCTGAACTTCTACCGTCAGTAGTCACCAAGTTACCAAGTATTTGTCCCAGAAGGACAAACGCTACGTAACTGGACATTACTTACCTATCACCAACCTGAACAGCAGTGCCTCTGCACAGAGGAAGTAAGAATGCTCCAGAGCATTGCATATATTTGTATTTCTCTTCTTTATTGCCTTTTTTTCCCCTTTCTATTCTCTCTCACTTTCTTTCATTTGGGTTCTTTGCCATCTTATAACCCTACCCTGAGCACCAGAATGACAGTTATTGATTCTCCATCTGAAAACATATACTTTCAGCAGAAGCATCATATATTTTAAACTCTGTTAAGAGAAAAACAGGTAATCCACGCTGTAGTCTGAATCCACACAGGACCACTAAACACTGCACACTGTGCAGGATGTAATATCAATTCATGGAGAGAAAAATACATAACAACCTCACCCAAACTAACTGCAGGTAAATTCAATTAGAGAATTGCACCTTCACTTCTCCCCACTTCCTCTCTTTCTACTTCACTACTTCTCTCCCTTCTCCGCAGAGAAAAAGAAATATTAAATACTTTGCTGTACCACAGCAAATTCTGCACTGAGATCCAGAGAGGTTAGATTTACAATATGTCCTTTTTCCATTAAATCAAAAAGTTCCAGATTTGCATGTCATTTTCACACTTTTTTTTTTCCAAAATTGATTATTTCAATACTTCTTTCTATTTACTAAGTACATTTTTTTTCCTCCAAGATCTGTTTTGAAGACTTGCGCCCTTGATCTTTTTACCCAGATTAACAAACCTGCTCTTGTCGCAGTGACTCTTCCTTTCTTGTAAGACACTCAGGCATGTGGTTTCATACACCTATTTTGTCTGAATTCTGGATTAACATCTACCCCACTCCACTGACTTGAGTATCCAGACTTTGCCCTATTTTTTCATCATTTTAGCCTGGAGGTCCAACGCAGATTCTATTTCATCTTACCCCTGCCTTCAGTGCAGAGCAGCCTTCCCCTCTTCCTCAGTGTTTTCTAGATGAAGAAGCTTTTGCTATTTCCTTCCATTGGTTCTTACTTCATTCCTACTCATCCTGCTCTCTGACTCATCACTTTCTTTGTCGATTCCTCTTCTGTCTTTGCACTACCTACAGATGTATTTTCACTGGTGATTGCCCATCAAATTAAATAAGGTGCTCTCACCATTACCATTTTTTCCTTTGTTTTGTATACACATTCTGGATAGTTTTTACACTTGAGGGAAAAAAAGAAATAGCCTCTGCAGTTCAGCTCCTTGATTCTTCTTAATGCGGATGACTTCAACAGTTAATTCATGTAGCTTATCAAAACTTTTTATCTTCAAAATAAGGAACCTTAACTACAGTTCTGCCTCTATTTAGTCTTCTATTTAATGCAAATGCAATAGGCTTGTGAGTATTTGTTTCCAACTTCCTTATATGTTGTTTTTTCTTTTCTTTTTTTCATGGTCTTCATCAAAAGTAAATCTAAAATAGGTTCAGTTGAGAAGTCATTTGGTTACCTACTCTATCTATAGGTACATGGGCCCTACCTTGAGAAGTAAGGCCCTACTTCTGCATGTCTTTCACTAGAGATCACAGAATGAATCATAGAATCATAGAAAGGCCTGAGTTGAAAAAGACCACAATGATCATCTAGTTTCAATCCCCCTGCCATGGGCAGGGTAGCCAACTTCTAGACCAGGCTGTCCAGAGCCACATCCAGCCTGGTCTTGAAATACAGAGATACATGTCTGTGTGAGATACAGATGAGAAACATCTAGGAAATACAAATCTTCCCAAAATATGTCATTTCCATTTGTATTTATTCGTCTAATTATACTATTTGCGACCTGATGATAAGGATGGAATGAGAGCTGCAGCATCGATCCAGAATGATCCCTACTTGTTCTAACTAATGTTTCTCAAAGGAATGTTAACACAAATTTTGTGTTCAGCCAGCAACAAGTCCGTTCTTTTATTTTTTTTTCTGAGGGACAATTTGAGACAAATTATTTTTTTCTTTTAGAAAGCCAGTATATAAAATTTTCAACTCCCAAAGCAAACGTATCATTAGATAGCACAAAACCTAGGTCTGCTGGACTCCTGGCTGCCCTAACACTGGTGTACTTCAAAAAAAGCAGCTGCCCAGCAGTGAGGAAGCCTCAGAGCTGGATATCTGAAAGGGGTAACAAGTCTGAGAATCTGGGAGGCCTGGAGGGGAGAACCAGGTAGGTTTGAGCCCCCACCAGCCTGGGAGGAGGGAGCTGGAGAGCTGCAAGCCCTCTCCACAGATATGGAGGGAGCTGGCTGAGCTGAGGCAAAATTATTCCTTTCTAATGGTGTTCTGTTCTAATAGATTGGAGCCCACCCTAAAAGTGAGCTCTCCCACCGTCACGTCCCATTGCACCTTTGCTCAGAGCATCTCAGAGGCTGGCCCAGCAGGGACCCAAATGCCCCCATCTGCTCCTCTGGGGTTTCACTGCCATACCTTGGAACATTAAAGTGGCCATTTCCAGCCCTTTCCCACTGGGAACTTTTTGACACTGCTCTTCCCTACAGAGCAATAGCATTTCCAGTTACCACTAAAATATGTAAAACTTTCACAAGCATTAAAAATGTGAAGCAAGAGCAGCATTTCAGCCACCAGATGAGTAATACCTCTGAAGAAGACTTAACAAAAAGTTTGTGGGAATTTTTGTCCAGCTTTATTTACTGCTACAAATTGCTTACCAGACCGAGCCTGTTCAGACTGCTGTGCTTGTTACACCAGCAGAAAAACAGCTTTAACTCTGCAAGCCCTTTTTTTCTTGCAGTGTACTTTCACTCACTTTCACTAACACGATACAAAAATGATGCCTTGGGATTACAATTGCGTGATGGAAACTTTTTACTACACTTCAGTGAACCTTAAGGGAAAACACATACATATATATACTGTGGATATTATGTGGATTTCCAGGAACCCTGTCAAAATTATCTCATGAAACGTTAAAAAAAAAAAAAAGACAACTAGAAAGAAAACTGCTTCATTAACTTCTTCCATTACTCACACCAACGGGTAGATGTAAGACCAAAACTAAAAGCATTATTTTCAAAAGCCTTTTGAAAATGTGGCTGGGTTTCCTACCCTCTTACCTCTGTGAGCCATGCAGAGAATGAGTAGTCCGTGATCTTCTGAGCATCAAAACACCACCTAAAGCAGCAATGTAATTCCAGATTACGTCCAAAATGTCGAATTGTTTAATCCATGCACAAACCACAGTGTACTTTGTTATACATCTGGGAAAAAAAAAAATAAAAAAGAAAGAGAAAGAAAGAAAAAAAAAATTAGGGTATGATGAAACAGAAAACTCTCTTTGTGGTTTTTTGTATATCATCCTTGCCACTTTCATAATTAGAGGACATAAGCTACCATTAAAGTCAATTGCAAAGTTCTCGTTGACTTCAGTAGATGTAAACCAGGCATTAATATTATGCTTTTCAGTTTTCTTGAGGTTTAAACACCCCATAAAATAAATTTACAGATGAACTAGTAAATGTACACTTACAAAGAAACCTCCTAAGGAGTCCCTGAAGCCATATTTTTAAATGCTGCTATTCATTTGGTTTCTATCGACCAGATTAAGGGACTGTCAAACAAGGGTGCATAGATCAAGAGCTGCAATAAGAAATGCTGAAAATACACTCCAGCAGTCTAATCTCAAAAATATCATTTGACGTACTTGACAAAATGGACTTAGAAGAGGGTTTCATGTTATGTGACATGTTTCACGAGTACAGAAAACCCTATCTATTTATTTATCTGCCTATCCATTTCACTGATCTGTAAATGAAAACATGTACAGTAGACGCAGCAATTTTTTATTTTTTTTTTTCCAGGAACCCTTTCAAAACCACTCACATAAAAATACAAGAAAAGTTAATTGAGAATGAGAGTCTAACTGATGAGAAGTCAGAAACACTACCATCCGGAGCTGACATTTTCTTCTATACAACTATGTGCCCATTGGGCATAATTTTTGATCTTGCAGACTTTCCACATGTAAAACTCCAATTGACTTCAGTGCAAATGAATGAACTGCAGGATCTAATTAAGCCTGATGAGGTCTGAAAAACAATCTTATACAGTGCCTGAACATTTCCATGAATTACAAAGATTTTCAAGATACTTTGCCTAGCTCATTGCCAAATAAGCATCTGCAAATATTTAGAAGGATAATGTGTAAACATAAGGTGAGCATTAGATGATAAGCAGATATAAGGAGCTAACAGTTACCTGAACTGACTTGATGAAGGCTTTATTAATGGAACATCATACGTGACATTACCATACAAAGAGTGGTGACTGATGGATGACATTTGCATAATAATCTTGCACTACTGGCACAAGCAGAAAGGCCCTTTTGACAATTAATAACCACTTGGGAAATGTTTGCCTATTACCACACAGAAGCATGGTAGCAGAGGCAGGGATATTGTCCAGCTTTCCAGGGTAGAATTCAACCTCAACTGGAAGACCTTGTTTTCTTTTTCTACCACATCCTGATTCATTCAGGAAAATTCAGCTTCTCTACATGTGAGCTGGAGTTCTGCAGTTGCCATCCATCAATTCTGCTCAGTGCTGATACATCTCCAAAGCAGATACATACTAGATGTATGGCCAAAACCATATGAGAATAGACAGCATACTCACAAAAATCAAGTCAGTGTTACAGTGCAAACACGTTTTGAAAGCAAAACAAAGCTGCAGAAATCAGTCTTTTATTCTTAATTTATGTAAACTGATTCTTGTAAATTCAGTGTTAACATGGCATTCTCCATATACCTGCTGTTACAAAACGAATGAACCTCGCCTGTGCTGCGTTCAGATGTGGAGTATTCAGTACAGAAGAGACATGGAACTGTTGGAGCACATCCAGAGGAGGGCCACAAAAATGATCCAAGGCATGGAACACCTCTTCTATGAGGACAGGCTGAGAGAGCTGAGGCTGTTCAGCATAAGGGCTCTGAGGTGATCCGAGAGCAGCCTTTCAGTATTTAAAGGGGGCTGTAAGAAAGAAGGGGACAGACTCTTCAGCAGGGTTTGTTGTGATAGGACAAGGGGAAATAGCTTCAAACTAAAAGAGGAGAAATTTAGACTGGATGTAAGAAAGAAGTTATTTGCATCAGGGGTGGTGAGGTGCTAGAACAAGTTGCCCAGAGAGGTGGTGGATGCCCCATCCATCCAAGGTCAGGCTGGATGGGCCTCTGAGCACCGGATGGAGCTGTAGGTGCCCCTGTTCATTGCAGGGGAGCTGGACCAGATGGCCTTTAAGGGTCCATTCCAACTCAAACGATTCTATGATTCTAAGACTATTTCCACTACGTGGCATCATACCCACAGAGACCCATCATTGGGATGGTGTTCTCAGGCCCACACAGACTGACAGAGAGACTGATGGGAAAGAATCACAGAATGATGGTCTAACTGAAATTGGGAAGGACCTTAGGAATCCATGTGATCCATGCCCCAGTCATAACAGGACTAATGTCTACATTATGTTTGGCTCCCAAGACCTTCTTGGCCATTCTCTATGTCCATTCAGGAAAGTGGCAAAGAAACCGTGCTGGAGGCTGGCCACAAATGATAAAATTTGAGAGCTCCACATTTCCCTTAAGGGCAACAGGGACAGGCTGCAGGTCCAAGTAAAGGCCAGAGGCAATACCAGAGGAGTCACTTCCAGCCTAGCCACTGGTGCACCCAGCTGGTGACTGCTCAGCCACTCTGTGAGGATGATGTATGGAAAGTCTGAGCATGGGAAGGAGCTGTGTGAGGCAGAGAAGATGAAATCTCTGGAAATATTTGCTGTTAGGTCTTAGTAAATCTCTATGGAATATTTGGTAACTGTGTTTTTTTCCACTTCTTGAAACAGTCGACCAAATTTGAAAAGCTTTGTGGAGATGGCAGAAGACATATGCCTGATTCAAAGGAAGAGAAAGATCTGTCTTTGCTCTGAAACTTCTTAAAACTCAGGGTTGCATTATTATTATTTCTTTTTTCTTAAGTAGAATAACAACATGGGTGTTTTTGTTGTTGCCTTTTTTTTTTTTTTTTTTTACCAGCCTTCTTATAAGAAGTTAAATCACTTATCACTATGGCTAATACTTTAAAAAAAAATTCTAGAGAATGACATCCCATATAAATATATTTGACCCAAATGTGAGTTTGGCTAAGTTCTAAACTGAGAACAGAATCTTATAGCAGAAAACATTAGGAAAACTTCCTCAGGGGCAGAGCTGCCCATCCTGCCTGCAATACTGTTTATTAAGCACTTTGGAATCCGTAGACATGAACAGAACCATGTAACCAAAGCTTCTGGCCTGCATTGCCCCACTCCCTCTTTCTGCTGCAGTAACTTACTGTTAATTATTGTTATGAACCACAGCTGGCTGGTGGGAGCACCAGGCAAGCATGCTTTCCTCTGGAACTAAACTCCGGGAAAAGAAAAAAATTCTGAATATGCATTGCATCAGGATTAAAGACAAATTGTGAAGTTTGCTTCCAGAGCAAATGCTGCTGCATTCAAAGCCTATTAAGGTACAGGGGAGGGAGTGCCAAAGGACGAGAGCACTCCGCAAATACAGCTGCAATTCCATGAAGTCAGAGCAAGCAGCCCACAAGATGAAGTAAGTAAGGGATGCAGTGTAACAGCCCACAAAACACAAACGGATCTTGCTGTTTAAACTATTTAGACCATGAGACCCAAAAACTGATGAAATTAAACATAAAAAATACGGCCGTTGTCTTCAGGTCTGGTTTTACTTGCGGATTTTATCTTACAGCTCTAAATCCCAATTGTTAAAATGTTTTCTCTATTGTCATTATTATTAAGGTATTTCTTTTTAGGCTTCCAGTATGGGACATCACTAACTGGCAAGGGATCATGGGCGAACTGTCCATCCTGTGGCAGTGAGCAGAAAGTTTGCTACTGATTTTGGAGATGTGAGATTTTTACCTGCAGGAAATCAAGGTAAGTGGGAAATAATATACATTTTATCCAATTAAAAAGTGAAGCTTATGCATTTTCAGGTTCTCAGCCCACAGACATTTCCTTTTTCTGTCAGAAAAATACAGTTGGGAGGATATGTAATGTCAAGTACAAAAAAGGTGCTGTAACACAGAGAGGGCCAAGGGGGCCAAGGCTGTAAATTCCTTCCATCGACATGGTAATCTGTATTTGTAAAAGGCCAATATTGAGCAGGCAGCGAAAACAGAAATGCATAACCACATCACATTGTTCCACTGCCAAAAACATTCATACTAATTTCCACCATCAAACGCACAGTATGATTACTTAAAGGTTTTTTTTTTAACCAATCCAACTTATAAAAACAAAATCCTCAAGATGGTGTAACTTCACATTTTCATATTCTGTAACATGAATATCCATCAAATTGGCAACAATCCTTACCTTGTGTACAAGCCTCCTTCAGGGTCATTAATGTGGAATCAACTCCTTGCAGTAAGTAAACACTTTTTTTCCTTGGTTTTTATGTTGAAAATTGAAAATTAATCTTGCAAGTCATGTTGAACCAGGAAAACAGGGTTGACAAAGCAAGCACTGTAGTCTGATATCTTTTATTAGGCCAACTTAGAGTTCAAAAATATGCAAGCCTCCTTGACCACACACAAGTTCATGTATGCAGAACTCCAGACTGGACCCATAAAATGGATTAAACTACTTGCTTTGTCACTCCATATATATATATATATATATATATACACAGTATATGTATGTACATATATACAGTATATAATGAACATGCATATACATTTTCAAGGCTTCAGAATAAACTGTTCTTTGATGCAGCTTTAAAATAACAGCTCTGAAGGACTTCTGCTGGTTGGCATGTAACCATGCTATGGGTCAACAGGTTTCATAAAGAAAATTTAGCAGCGCACACAACAAATCCTACTTCTGATTCCTAATGAGTTGTAATTCCTATGCAAAAACTCATGACTTTCACTAACTGCTAAATATTATTAGCAGTTCCTTTCCTTTAATGGTAATAATGAGAATAGCTGGCAATATAGTAATATACTAGGAATAATAATGTAATTCACACAAAGTTTTGTAGGAAGAACAATAAAAAGGTTACTAAACTTACAACTCTAACACTTCAGAATGTTCTATGCAAGTAAAACCCTCTGTAAATGGATATGTCTCTCCTGCACAAGAATTCAAGTGTTTGTAACGTTGCTATGTGCCCACAGCAAGGTGTGTGCATAACCTGCT